TACCGGGACTGTGACTCACGTGGCCCCCCCTGCGCCCGGGCTCCTTGGAGTAACTTCCCGTGGGTCCCCACCGTCTCCTGTGATCACCAAAACACGCCCTTGGCGCTGCCAAGTTATTCATTCATCAGACGTGTGTTGAAGTCCTCCGACCACGTGTGACTTGTGTGCCCTAGCAGAAGTTGAGGGTATGCAATGTACCGGGAACTCCAAGGGAGCACCCCTAACCCGACTCTGGAGGGTCAGGGATGGCTTTCCAGGTGAGGTTGATTGGATAGGGTTTTGATGGAACAGTAGAGGCAGACTTTGGGTGGTGAGGTTGGAACAGTGTGGCCCAGGTAGGGGCACGGTATATGTAATCTGCTAGAAGTGTCGTCGGTTAGTGTTGTGATCAGTGTTGGTACCCGGGTGGTTGGTGAGGAGGGCTGGAGTGGACATGGCAGAGTCGAAGGGCCCAAGAAGGGCATCCTAGTGGAGCTTGGAAAGAGGAGTTAGACGTGGTTCACCAGGTTATGGTTGCAGATACAACCCCCAAACAGGAGTCTGGTTCTGGTCCCAGTAGATCCCCCTGAGCCTTTGTTTCCTTATCTGTAAAACAGTTATAATATCCCACAATTTCCTTAAAGCCAGTGGTTCTAACACTCGCTGGAAACTGTGGCCCCTTTCCTCAAAGAAAAATGGACACAAGGGTCCCAGACAGGTCTGTCCCTGCACAACACAGCAGCAACTCAGCAAATGTTTTCCCGTCGCTCCTGGGGACCTTTCCAACAAAGATTCTTCAGCCCCGAAGTCCAGCAGGCAGGTTCTGTCTCCTAATGTGGGGAAGGAGAGGGTCCGCTGCTGTGGTCCCAGAGTGCTCTGAAAATGAGGCAGTTGTGATATCAGGCTGTAGCAGGAACACCCTGGTAGATTGTCTAGTCTGGTGTACCTCCCCACTGCATTTCACAGGTTGGGGGCAGCTCTGGCTCTGGTGGTGGGGTGTCCAGGAGACCTAGGATTTCATCTCTCTTACGGAATGGCTGGCCTGTGGTACCTCTCCTGAACTGCTGTTTCTTTCTCTGGGAAACTGGGTGGTCATGCCTCCCTCAGGGGACAGGTGTGAGCGCTTAGGAGTGCATAGTTAGACTTCATACCTTGTAGATACCTACTAATGGAAATGGACTCCTTTCTGGCTTTTCTTTCTGAGTCTCACACTCTTCTGGTTTGTAACTCCTTGAACATGGACAGGGGAGGGGGAGCTGGATATGGCTTAGTGGTTAAGAGCTCATACTGTTCTAGAGGACTGGAGTTCAGTTCCCAGCACCCATGTCAGGTGGCTCACACTGCTTCTGGCTCCAGCTCCAGGGGATTCAATGCCTCTGGTCTGTGTGGCCACCTGCACACACACACACACACACACACACACACACACACACACACGATTAAAAATTTAAAAAAAAAGATGGACACTGGGGAGTGGAGGTGGGAATAAGAATGTGATGACAGCCAGGCGTGGTGGCGCAGGCCTTTAATCCCAGCACTCAGGAGGCAGAGGCCGGCAGATCTCTGTGAGTTCAAGGCCAGCCTGGTCTCCATAGTGAATCCAGGCCAGCTAGGGCTACAGGGAGACCCTGTCTCAAAAAAGACCAAAAAAAAAAAAGAATGTGGTGACAAAAGTCACCAGGCATGGTAGCACATGCCTTTAATCCCAGCACTTGGGAGGAGGAGACAGGCAGATCTTTTTGAGTTTGAGGCCAGCCTGGTCTGCATAGCGAGTTCCAGGTCAGCTGGGGATACAGGGAGACCCTGTCTCAAAAAGACAAAAAAAAAGTCTATTCCCAGTTTAGACACTGCTTAAAACAAGCAGAGAGCCGGGCATGATGGTGCATGCCTTTAATCCCAGCACTCAGGAAGCAGAGGCAGGTGAATCTCTGAGATCAAGGCCAGCTTGGTCTTCATAGCAAGTTCCAGGCCAACTGGGACTACAGGGAGACCTTGTCTCAAGAAGGAAAAAAAAAAAACAACAACCATATGGGGCTGGAGAGATGGCTCAGTGGTTAAGAACACTGACTGCTTTTGCAGAGGACCCAGGTTCAATTCCCAACACCTGCATGGCGGCTACAAACCGTCCTTAACTCCAGTTCCAGGGGAATCCGAAGCCTTCTTCTGACCTCTGCGGCATTGCATGACATGGGTGCACTCACATACATGCAGGCAGTACACTCATACACATAAAATATTTTTTAAAAAACACAAGAAAACCATAAACCCACAAGCAGGGGGCAGGAGTGTGACTTTGTGACTTAGTGGTCAAGAACATGGATTTGAAAGGCCCTGGATTCACCCAGCCACAAATGAAATACAGCAATTACAGAGAGTTTATAGAATATGCCTGTGGGTAATAGGCACAGGGCTCCACAATTTATTATGTGTGTGTTGTATGAGTATGTGTGTGTATGCTTGTTCATGGATGCCAGATGTGCCATGGTGACTATGTAGAGGTCAGAGAGCAAACTTGAAGTGTCAGTCGGTCCTCATCTTTCCACCTTGTTTGAGACAGGGTCCCTCTGCCCTGCGTAGGCCAGGCTAGCTAACCTGGGAGTTTCTGGAGATTCTCTTGTCTGCTTTTGCCTCCTGTCTCTCAGAAGGGTGTGCTGGGATTACAGCTACTTGCCCTAGGGCATCTGGCTTTTCATGTAGGTCTGGGGATCTGCACTCAGGTTGTGAGTGCAAGCACTGTTGCCTACTGAGTCATCTTCCCAGCCCTATTAGACAGCCCTGGCTGGCCTGGGACTCCCTGTGTAGACCTGGCTGGCCTTGAATTTGGCAGTCACAAATCCTTCCTCAGCCTCCTTGGCCTTTGCCACCATGCCCAGCTGGGCTTCACCTTCGGGAGGTGTTGCTCTTCCCTGCTTGCCTGTCTGGTTGTGCACACAGCCATGAGCAGCACCTAGAGTTGCCCATTTGCAGGTGAAGAATCTGGGGCTCAGAGACAACGCAGGTCAGTCAGGCTCCTGACTCCTCTCAGCAGGGGACTTAACTGTTGGATCTGGCACCAACCAGGCCTCCCTCAGTCCATTCCAGGTGCCTCAGTAGCTGTGCTCTGGCCTCACTGTCTTCTCCCTCCCTTGACTTCTGCTCTCTGCTTCTTATATTTGGCCAGACTAATGGGGGGGGACCCTGGGGAGCTTGCTCAGGCCACTTTAAGTTCCTACCTGGGCCATGGTCTACCTTTAGCTGACTTTTTGGGATTTTCTGTCTACACAAAGACCTGGATTGGTCACAAATTCTCAATTTTTGTGCCTCAGCCTCTTGAGTTTTGGGGTTACAGTAAGTATGCACTACAGCAAACACTTTCCCCCCCTCCCCTTTTTCACTTAAATATAGTCAATCATGGTGGTGCACACCTTTAATCCTAGCAGTCTGGGACAGAGGCAAGTAGATCTCTATGGAGAAGTGCTGTGTGCATATGGAGGCCAGAGGTTAACATCAGGCGTCTTCCTTGATTGTTCTCTACCTTGTTTTTGAGATGGGGTCTTAACCTGGAACTCACCAATTAGGGTACTTTGGAGGCTGGTTTTTTAAAAAAATATTTCATTTTTAAATTTTTAACTTATTTTTTTTTAAATATTTTATTATTTTTATTTTATGTGTGCAAGTGTATTGCCTGCATGTATGTGAGTGCACCCATGTTGTGCAATGCCGTGGAGGTCAGAAGAGGGCTTCAGATTCCCCTGGAACTGGCGTTAAGGACGGTTCGTGGCCGCCATATGGGTGCTGGGAATCGAACCTGGGTCCTCTGGAAGAGCAGTCATGCTCTTAACCACTGAGCCATCTCTCCAGCCCCTAACTTATTTTATTTTCATTTTATGTGTATGCGTGTATTGCCTGCATATAGGTAAAGTGCACCTGTGTGGTGCAATGCCCTCGGAGGTCAGAAGAGGCTGTCAGATCCCCTGAGACTGGAGTTATGGACAGTTGTTAGCTGCCATGTGGGTGCTGGGATTTGAACCTGGGTCTTCTGCAAGAACAACCAGTGCTCTTAACTGCTGAGCCGTCTCTCCAGCCCAGAGTCTGGTTTAAAAGTGCTTTGGTCTCCTCCCCGTGAGTCAGAAAAGTCCCTGGTCTTGTATTCATATCTTCAAAGTTGATAGCTGAAAAGCCTGAGGCTTTCAGCCCTAGGAGAGGAAAGAAATGGGGGAGGGTGCTGGTCAGGTCCTCAGCACAGACTGAGAAGGGCCTTTGCAGTTCTTTGATTTGTTGCCTTGGGCAGTTTCCATTCCTCATCTGTTAGGTGATGGGCACGTGAGTATGTTTATATCATAACCTCCAGATTAAGAGTGTGTCCAGTATGACCTAGGGAAGGCCTTAAGTGCTGTTCTCCCACCACTATCAACGTATTCAGCACATATTATGTGATGGTTTTTATTTTTTCATTTAAAATTTTTTCTGTTATTGGATGGAACCGAAGGCCTCAGGCATTCTATGCAAGTACTCTGCCAGGGAGCGGCATCCTCAACATTGTATGCTTTTGCATTCATTATTAACTCACTTAATCCTACACATTAACTAAGCATGGTAGTACATGCCTATGAATCCCAGCACTCAGGAGGTGGAGGCAGGAAGATCAGGAGTTCGAGGCCATTCTAAGCTACATAGGACCCTCTCTCAGTACTACTGATAATAACAACCTAAAATGGATAGTAGACAACTTTTCATTCTGCTTGGGGTTTTTATTTTATTTTATTGGCTTCGTGTTTTGAGTTTTGTATTTATTTTTACTGTTGTTTTTTTTTTTTTTTTTTTTTTTTTTTTTTTTTTTTTTTGAGACACGGTCTCCCTGTAGCTCTAGCTGGTCTATAACTTACCATGTCATCCAGACTGGCCTCTCTCCTACAGCTCTGCTTCCTAAGTGCTGGCATTAAAGCTATGTGTCACCACTCCCAGCTAGAGTTTTGATGAATACTGCCTAAGTGGCACATGTTTGTTACTCTGACATGTGGTATTTGACTGGGTCTTTTCAGGATAGGAAGATGCCACCTAAACGCATAGCAAAGAGAAGGTCACCCCCAGAGGATGTCATCCCCAAGAGCAAGAAGGTGAAGGGTAAGTCGGCCTGGATCCCAGCCTGGCTGGGTGGTCTCTTGGAACAGTGAGAATCTGGGCTGTGCTCCTTCCTTCCCCACTTGAAGCTGAGGGACTTAGACGTCCAGGGACCTTGCCCTCCTGGAGTCTCCCCTGTATCTCAGCAAGTCAACCCTTCGGCGATCATAAGAGGGTGAGGTGGAAACCTATCAAAGAGCACTGGAGCCATGCTAGCAAAAAACTAGATTCTAGAACTTTGCTCCAGACAAATGTATTATGGTAAGGTCTGGAACTTTGGTTCTCCCAGCCCCCTTAATCAGAAAAGTCCCTGGCCTTCTGTGCACACACTCTGAGTTAACAGCTGGGAAGCTTGAGGCTCTTGGACCCACTGGACTTTCAGAGGTGGGTTCCGGTCCTAGTTCTGCCCCTTTATTGCTCTGCAATCATAGGCAAGTCACTTAGCCTGGCTGAGCTTGGGTTTCACTTCATAAAATGGAGATGAGAACACCACCATTTGCTCTGGGCCATGGAGGATTAGATGAAATCATGTCCTGGTGTCATTTCAGGGAGATGTCTTGTGATTTTTTTTTTTTTTTTTTTTTTTCTCCTCTCTCCTAGAACCCCAGTCGAGCAAGGATGAGAGAAACTCACCCCTAGCTCAGGAGGGAGGAACATGGACCCATGCTCAGACAGTGTCTGTCTTTTGCAGACTCTTGTAACCAAGCAGTGAGGGCCACTGCCTCCCACTGAGGTCCTGTCACCTGCTCCTGCCAAGGTGCCTTCAGGCCAAGCCCAACTGACCAGAAAACCCAACCAGATGGCTCGCTGGCCTGTGCAGCCCCTGTGCAGCTTGCAGTGGCTCTGGCAACTGTAGCCAATCCCCTGGGGAAGGGAACAGATACCATTGACTGTGAAGGGCTGAGGCAGGCTACCAGAAGGCTGCCCACCAGTTGGCCCATACCCCTCTGCAAATGCACCCATGAGCTCCCTACTCTTTCCCTTGCTCTGAAGCTGTAGTGCTGCCCATACTGGCCAAATACATGGACCTTGTTCTTTTTAATACAATCTAGAGTTGGAAATCACAGTCTGGGAATGGAGGGGGGTTTGGATGGAAACTGATGTGTGCTCTAACCGAGGTAGTAGTGGCCCTTGGCTCATTGCAAACTCTGCTAATTAGTTTTATGGCCCTGGAAAGGTTATTGAACTTCTAGGAGATTCTGTTTCCTTTCCTGTAAAATAGGGTCTCAGTTTATATGGGGTATCTACAAAGTCAGTTAGTGTTGGTAGAATAAACAATCACTGTTGGCACTGAAGCTGTATACCTGCAGCATGGCTCATCAGGACACTTATCTTTTATCCTCACTCTCCATCTGCTGCCTGTCGAGTCATTTCACATAAGGAGTTGTCACCTTGTTTTTGTTTCCTCTTCCTCATGTTAGTAATGTACTCAGGTTTTAATCTTCACAAAATCCCAATGAGACAGATTCTTTTGTTACCCTGCTTCATAGATGAGGACACTTAGGCTCACAAAAGTCATTTTTATGGCAGAGCAAGGACTCAAACCGAGGCCCTTTTGAACCCAGAGCAGGTGAGGTCTCCCCTCATCCTGTACACTCAGGGGCTGTCTTCTCTGCCCTTCAGTCTCACACAGGTCCCACAGAACAGAACCAGGCTTGGTGTTGACACTGGGTCAAGGTGACGTGGGCCAGCTGGGGCTGGGTGAGAATGTGCTGGAGAGGAAGAGACCAGCCCTGGTGCCCCTTCTGCAGGATGTGGTGCAGGCTGAGGCTGGGGGCATGCACACCGTGTGTCTGAGCCAAAGTGGCCAGGTAGGTTGGAGGGATGTGACAGGTTGGATAGGGCCTGGGGAAGGGGGCAATGAGGGATGGGGCAGGGCGTGAAGCGGGGGGGGGGGGGGGCAGGCAGGTAGGGGGGGGGGGGGGCGGCAGGCAGGACATGAGGACATGGATATCAAAGCAGGGAGTGACCTAACAAGAATGAGTCACAAGACCAGACTTTGTGCTAATGGGGGCACCTTGGGCACAGGTCTACTCCTTCGGCTGCAATGATGAAGGTGCCCTGGGAAGGGACACATCAGTGGAGGGCTCAGAGATGGTCCCTGGGAAAGTGGAACTGCAAGAGAAGGTAGTACAGGTGTCAGCAGGGGACAGTCACACAGCAGCCCTCACTGAAGATGGCCGTGTCTTCCTTTGGGGATCCTTCCGGGTAAGACGGGGTCTGGAAGACTGTGGGGCCTGGCAGATAGAATGAACTAGGACCCCCAAATAATCCCCATTCTGTTTGTGTTCTGGTAAGAAAGTATAGCTGGGGTCCAGATCCCAGTCCTTTACGTCTCCATCTGACCTGTTCATACCACTGGATGTTTCACTGAATCTCATGTTTGAAGCATGTCTTTGGAAAGGGGTGGGTAAAGGATGCCTCTGGGCTGCAGCTGATCCTGGAAGCTGCTATTTCTACCCATCCTCTGCCTTATTCTCTCCCTTCCCCTCCAACCCAGGTCCATGATTCCCAGAGGCTTTGGGAAAAGGAATCATAGGAATGGGGAGTGTTGTTACATTTTGATCTTTGTATTTTCTGACGCAGGGTCTCATGTATCCTAGGCTAGCCTCTACTGGCTGTGTAGCTGAGGATGACTTTGAGCTTCTGATTTTCCTGCTTTCACCTCCTGAGTACTGGAATTACACACCCATATTTTATGCACTGCCATGAATCAAACCCTGGGCCTTGTGCATACTACTAGGCAAGCACTCTACCAACTGAGCTATAGTTCTTAGCCTAAGGGAATGTAGTTTTTTAAAAGTTTCAGCATGGGGGCTGGAGAGAGGGCTCATTAGTTAAGACCACATATTCTTACAGAGAACACAAGTTTGGTTCCCAGTACCCATATCAGGCGGCTTACAACTGCCTGTATAACTTTAGTTCCTGAGGGTCTCATGCCCTCTCCTGGCCTCCACTGGGAACTTCACTCATGTGGACATCCCCCCACATACACACACATAATTTTTATATGTATATGAATGCTTTGCCTGAATACATGTAAGTCCACTACCTTGTGCAAGTGCCTGCCTGTGGAGGTCAGAAGAGGGAATCAGAGCCCCTGGAGCTGTAGTTGCAGATGGTTGTGAGCTGCTGTGTGTGTGTGGGGGGAACCAAACCCTGGTCCTCTGCAAAAGTGCTTGTAACCACTGAGCCATCTCTCCAGCTCTACAGAAATTTTCTTTCAACCCATATAAAACGAATCAGAATAACGTATTACGTTTGCATCTTCTGCCACACCGCTTCAACAGTTATTGACTTTTAGCCAGATTTGTTTATCTCTACTCATATCTGTCGCCTCGCTTACTTTAACAGTTCCCACGAATGCTTTCGTTTGTAAGAATTTCCTTATGTAACCAGCCTCCTGCCTGCTTCATCCATGTCTGCCACCACCCACTGCCCTTCACCAAGCAACTGTATGGCCTCCTGCAAGCCTGGGTTTTGACTGGTACAGGGCAGTAGGCCTGGCTGGTTAAGTGTCATTGTATCTCTCCCTACTAGGATAATAATGGTGTGATTGGGCTGTTGGAGCCCATGAAGAAGAGCATGGTACCTGTGCAAGTACAGCTGGACATGCCTGTGGTAAAGGTAGCCTCGGGTAGGTGTTGGGGAACCCACTGTGGCAGGAGCTAGAGAACCTTGGTGCAGACCAGCTCAGCCCTAGGCCCACAGGACCAGCCCTGCATCCTCTGCCTTCCTCTGATGTTCAGGAAACGACCACTTGGTGATGCTGACGGCTGATGGTGACCTCTACACCTTGGGTTGTGGGGAGCAGGGTCAGCTGGGCCGTGTACCTGAGTTATTTGCCAACCGCGGTGGCCGACAGGGCCTTGGTAAGTGGTTTTAGACCTCTAGTGGGACAGTTGGGCAAGCCATCCCCTGGCAAAAGTGAGAAGCAGGAGGGACTCTGTGTTCAGGTTTACATCAAATGGATTTTCAGTGTGGGTTAAGAACTCAGACTTTGGAGACTGACAGCCCTAGATATAAATCCTCTTCTGCTGCCTTCTGAGTCTGAGGATCCTTAATATAGTTTTCCTTTTCTAAACCCTCCCCTAACCACCTCCCATTGGGTTACTTTGAAGAGAAATGAGTTAATGAACACCTGACACAGGGTGAGTTCCACATAATCATTTCCCTTTGTGACTTAAAATTTGAGCAAGGCACTTGAGACTGTTGGCCTAAGTTACCTCTTCTGTATCATGGGGATAAGGGACTCTGCTTGTCCTCCCTTCGGGGACTTTTGTAATGGAAGAGACACCTAGGATTAGGAGAAAGGACCCCTGTGACCTATCATTGACCCTGGCTTTCCTCTTTACTTACAGAACGACTCCTGGTCCCCAAGTGTGTGCTACTGAAATCTCGGGGAAGCCGGGGCCATGTGAGGTTCCAGGATGCCTTTTGTGGTGCCTATTTCACTTTTGCCATCTCCCGTGAGGGCCATGTCTATGGCTTTGGCCTCTCCAACTATCACCAGCTTGGTGAGTCTTTATCCTAGCACCAGGCATGACTTGGTGACCTTGATTCCATTCCTGGCTCCTGCGTTCATTCATTGTTCTTGCTTTGTGCATGAGTTGAAACCCTCAGAACCGTAGTTGAATTGCCTGTAAAGTGACACTATGCATGGCCTTTCTGGGGATGGGAGTGAAAAGGGAAGCTTCTAGAACACCTTCACCCTTGGCAACAGGAACTCCAGGCACAGGATCTTGCTTCATACCTCAGAACTTGACATCCTTCAAGAATTCCACCAAGTCTTGGGTGGGCTTCTCTGGTGGCCAACACCATACAGTCTGCATGGATTCAGAAGGTAGGACTTCCAAGTCCTTCTACATGGAGACAGAGTGGTCTCTAAAGTGACGAGACTCCTGGGATCATGGATTGGGTAGATATAGGTTGGATCTGTGAGGGTCACCCCTTACCCCAGACCCTGGTGTTTCCAAGTATGAGTTCACTGGGGTGTTGTGTGGAGGCTCTCCTAGCTCCCACCCCCAAATGAGGCTAAATGATCCTGTAAACCTTATGACAGCCTGAGTAGGGACTAGCCCCCAGGAACGTGCGTAGTCACCTGCTGTGCTATCCACCTGGAATATGCCCTTTGCTCATGCTCATCTCTCTCCTACAGGAAAGGCATACAGCCTGGGCCGGGCTGAGTATGGACGGCTGGGCCTTGGGGAGGGTGCCGAGGAAAAGAGCATACCCACCCTCATCTCCAGGCTGCCCATCATCTCTTCAGTGGCCTGTGGGGCCTCGGTGGGGTATGCTGTGTCCATGGATGGTGAGTGGGGCTTCTCATATCTGGCCTGGTTGGAACCCGGGGGCCAAGGGGCCATGATTCTTTTTTTTGAGACAGGTCTCCCTGCAACCCCAGCTGGCTTGGAACTCACTATGTAGACCAGTCTGGTGTCAATCTCACAGAGATCTGCCTGCCTCTGCCTCCCAAGTGCTGGGATCAAAGGCATGCACTACCATGCCTGGCTCATGATTGTTTTTTTAATATTTTTCTTTTAAAAAAATTTTTTATTTTTATTTTATGTGTATGAGTGTATTGCCTACATGTGTGTTAAGTGCACTTGTGTCATCATGCAATGCCCATGGAGGCCAGACGAGGGCATCGGGTCCCTTGGAATTGGAGTTACAGACAGCTATTAGCTGTCCTGTGGGTACTGGAAACCAAACCTGGGTCTTCTGGAAGAGCAGCCCATGCTCTTAACTGCTGAGCCATCCTTGCAGCCCTGTGGTCATGATTCTTAGCAAACTCCTTAACAGGTTGTGGTACTGTCATCACATGTCACTGAGATGCAGAGAGCAGTGGTGGGGAGAACATGGCTTTGCCCCCAACTCAGAAGCTCAGACGTTGATGAATATTAATGAGTAAGCAAAGCTGGGCTTGGTGGCTCATGCCTGAAAACCCAGCATTTAGAGGACTGAAGCAAGAGGATTGTCACAAGTTTGAGGCCAGCCTAGACTAAGTAGTGAGACCCTGTCCCAAAAAACAAAGGTGGGTTGGGGGGAGGGCAGAACTAGAGAAATGGCTTAGTGGTTAAGAGCACTTGCTGCTCAATCAGGAGGAGTTTGAATCCCACCATCCACATCAGGCGACTCATAGAGGCCTGTAACTCCAGCTCTAAGGAATCCGATGCTACCTTCTAGAAGTGTGGCCACCCATGTGTACATACACAGACACATATATAAAGACATACGGATATAAACATAAATACTAGAAAAGACAGAATAAGTTATTTTAATAGAGGTGATTTGTTGTGCAGAGGAGGAAAACAGCAAAGGAGCAGATCTCACAGAGGCCCAAGGAGGAGACTTGAACTTTGGGACTTGAAAACCCAGGAGTCTCCAGACTCTTAATTCTGGGTTCTTGCCAGACTGAAAATTTTTATGTACCAGCAAGTTCCTAGGGATCTATGCTTAGAGTTACAGGAAAGAGACTTAGTAGTCAGTGTCCTGTCCTGCAGAGGAGGCTGTGGACACATAGCAGCCAAAGCCCAAGGGAGAGGCGCACAGCCAGGGAGCTGCAGAAGTCTGGCTGACAGATGTGTTTGAGCTTATCTGGGAGGAAATCCTCGGGAAGTGGAGCTTGCACTGCACCAAGAAGTTTCTGTCCTTTATGCATTTGCATCTGTCCTTTATACTTTTTGCATCTCAAGCAAAGTATCCTGAGCAATCTCAAAGGGAGCTGGTCCTGAAAATGGGTTTAGTGCCATGCTTAGGAGCAGGGAGAAGTCTTTGGCAATGGAGGCTATCACCTCTTCAGCTTCTCCAGCCTCCCTTGAATCTTGAATGCTCAGAGATTGGGACCTTGCCAGACTGCTGTTGGTCAAGATCAGTATTCACCCCCATATCCCAGGCCTCTTACGGTATGGAAAGGCAAGTGTTGGGGATCCTGGAGACAACTGCCTCTACTTCTGTTCTTTGCAGGTCGTGTTTTTGCCTGGGGCATGGGCACCAACTACCAGCTGGGCACAGGACAGGATGAGGATGCCTGGAGTCCCGTGGAGATGATGGGCAAACAGCTGGAAAACAGGGTGGTCTTATCTGTATCCAGCGGGGGTCAGCACACAGTCTTATTAGTTAAGGACAAGGAACAGAGCTGATGATGTCTCTGAGGGCCTGACTTCTGGCCCCCGAGCACTGCCTCACAGAACAAGAAAGCAGCCAGCTACATATTCCAGAAGGCCCCTCCCAGCCCTGAGCATCTGTCATATCCTGTCTTTTTCCATCAGCAGAGCAGAAACCTTTTCCTCTTTTTCGTCCTCCTTTCTGGAATCATCCTAGGACTTGCAGGATGAAATGGGGATGGAAGTTCTCATAAGGAATACTGCTCACCCCAGACTTATGTGATTAGACCTTTCCTCCCTCCTACCACCCTGACTCCCATAGTCCTGGCTGGTGCTGGCTTTACCTACCAAAAAAACCCACGAAACTTCCTACCCTGGGAGTTTGGTGTCACACTCTAAGCAGTTGGGACTCTGTCAAGCCCCATGTCTAGCATGTGCTATTCTTTGCATTTCTAACAGTAGTTTACAGGGAGACAGATGGTACAGTCATCAGAGCCAGTTGTCATGGACACATGCCTGGGGGAATCTGGACAAAGGCTTTTCAGGGCTATGGGCAACCCCAAGCCAAATATTTGGCTCTAAACAGGTGTCCATGGGGCAAAAAACAGTGACCTGTTTGAAGAAAGCCAGTTAGCTGTTCTTCCAAAAGCACAAAGCCTCCTGTCCCTCAAGCGTTGGCTGTGCGTTCCCTTCTCCAGTCGCCTTGCCTGCCACAGGACTGGAAAGCCAGGCTGGCTCTGCTGGGCAGTCAGGGCATGGTTCTGGGGAAGAGAGGGGGGAGTGTGTTAAACAATACTGAGGGGAGGATTGGAGGCAAGGGTTTGGAGGGGCAGAGGCTGGTCCTAAGGAAAGGAAGCAGCAACTTGTACAGTGGCTGAGAAAATAGTTTTGATTTTTTTAAATTGTAAACTATTTTGGAGGGGAGAGTGAAATCTTTTAACACTTTGAATAAATTTAGAGTTTTATAAAAGAGGTTTGTTTTTTATATACTTCTGGGTTTTGTTTTTTTTTTCTGAAAGAATATCTACCATGTACCAACAGGCACTGTTAGAATGGCAGAGTCAGCTGGTGCCTAGGAACCTATGTCAAGGCTATAGCTTGAAGGGTGTCAAGATATCCCAAGGCAGTCACTTGATTTTTTAAAAAAATTTTTGATGTATGTGATGTTTTGTCTTCAGTTAGATGCACCATGTTTATGACTGGTGCCTGCAGGTCATGTGTGCCATGTGCATGGCTGGTGCCAGCAGAGGCCAGAAAGTGGCGTCAGATCCCCTACACCTGTAGTTACAGATGTTTGTAAGCCACTAAGTGGGAAAATGTTCTTTTTTTGGTATTTTTGAGATATCTGAAGCCCCAGCTGGCCTGGAACAACTTGCTAGGTAGACCAGACTTGCCTCAAACTCAGAGATCCCCCTGCCTCTGCCTTCTGAGTGCTGGAATTAAAGGCATGTGCCACCAGCACACCCAGCCTGTGAAAGTATTCTTAACTGCTGAGCATTCTCTCCAGCACCTCACTAGATTTCTTTGGGGGTGAGGGGTACAAGGGAAGAATTGAGATGTATGTAGCACTGGCTGGCCTAGAACTTGCTATGTAGACCAAGCTAGCCTCAGATTCATAGAGCTCTACCTTCTGCCTCCTAAATGCTGGATTAAAGGTGTGTACCACCATGCCAGGCCTTGGATTTTTTTCAGTGATCCATAAAAAGAGAAATCGGATGGTTCATTTGGTTTTTGTTTGTTTGAGTTGGTGGGTTTTTTGTTTTGTTTTTGTTTTGGTGGTGGTGGGGTTTTGGTGGGTGTTTTTTTTTTTTTTTTTTTTTGGTCTTTTTGAGACAGGGTCTCTGTGTAGCTCCAGCTGTCCTGGAACTCACCATGTAGACTCAGAGATCTGCCTGCCTCTGCCTCCCAAGTGCTGAGACTACAGGCGTGCGCCACCACGCCTGGCTATTATTTTTATTTTATGTGAATGAGTGTTATACCTGTGAATGAGTGTTATACCTGTATATATGTAAGTGCAATGCCCAAGGAGGACAGAAGAGGCTGTCGGATCCCATGGAACTGGAGTTATAGTCTTGTTAGCTGCCATGTGGGTGCTGGGAATTGAACCAGCAACTGTCTTCTGCAAGAACAGTCAGTGTTCTTAACTGCTGAGCCATCTCTCCAGCCCTGTGAAGTATATTTTTTAGGTCTGCTACTTCTCCCCAAATCTATCTGGATTATATTTACTGGAGTTTGTCCTTTTTGCAATTTAGCAGGTTAGAACTGCCAGGGGTTCTTTTTGTTTTTGTTTTGTCTTTGTGAGACGGTTTCCCTGTAACCCTAGCTGGCCTGGAATTCCGTAGACCAGGCTGGCCTCTCATCCATCTGCCTCTGTCTCTGTCTCCCAAGTGCTGGGACTAAAGGCATGTGCCAGCTAGCTCAGCTTAGAAATACTGGTTTTTACAAACTTTTTTTACATCTGTGTATATGCACACATGCATGAACTTGGGAGGACGACATGGGAGTTGGTTTCCTCCTTTTGCTATGTGAGTTTCGGGGACTGAATTTGGTTTCTTATGTAGCTGCCATTGCCTTTTCCTATCTCACCAACCCCAAAGCATCAAATTTGGAAACTCATAGTTGGGTCTCTGGTTTCCGGAATTGATGAGTTCTTGACCTATAGGTACATTCTAAGCTTGGGATGTATAGACAGGTAAGGAAGAACCTTGGGGCTCCATCAGTCACTTCTGTTGGCCTTTGCTGTCAGAGAACCAATCACAAGGCACAGAAGTCTCTGACTTTGAAGTGAACTGGGTACCAACCTGATGTAGAGGCCTGAGATACACATTAGGAATGAGTTGTTCAAAGCAGTTTACTGAGGGCCTTATATACCTGGTCTCAGCTTAAGGATAAATTAGAGCTCTGACATTTTTGGAGTAAATACTGGGACTCTGAATGTGGAGAGAGGTAGGAGTGGGATCTCACCTGCACACTCAGCCCTGGGGATACCAAAGCAGAAGGACTGCCATCTGTTTCTGCATTCCAGGCCATTCTGGGGTACACAATGAGACCCTGCCTCAAAAACTAAAAACATGGGTCTAGAAATGGCTCAGGGGCTGGAGAGATGGCTCAGTGGTTAAGAACACTGGCTGTTCTTGCAGAAGACCCGGGTTTGAATCCCAGCACCCACATGGCAGCTAACAACTGTAACTCCAGTTCCAGGGGATCCAACAGCCTTTTCTGTCCCCTGTGGGTATTGCATGACATAGTGCAGTTACCTACATGCAGACAATGCACACATACACATAAAATATTTTAAGAAATAGGGGCTGAAGAGGTGGCTAAGCGGTTAAGAACTGGTTCTTGCAGAAGACCCGGTTCAAATCCAGCACCCACATGGCAGCTAACAACTATCATGTGTATGTGTGTATTGCCTGCATGTAGGTAAGTGCACCTGTGTCGTCCAATGCCCGCGGAGGTCAGAAGAGGGCTTCGGAGTCCCCTGGAACTGGAGTTAAGGACAGGTTGGAGCCGCCATGTGGGTGCTGGGAATCAAACCAGGATCCTCTGCAAGAGCAGTCAGTGCTCTTAACCGCTGAGTCATCTCTCCAGGCCCCCAAAATAAAATATTTTTTAAAATCACTTTTAGCCAGGCCTGGTGGCCCACACCTGTAGTCCCAGCACTTGGGAGGCAGAGGCAGGCGGATTTCTGTGAGTTCAAGGCTACCCTGGTCTACACAGTTCCAGGACAGCTGGGGCTACAGGGAGACCCGGCTTCAAAAAGACAAAAATTTTTTTAAAGGGCTGGGAAGTTGGCTCAGCAGTTAAGAGCACTGGCTGCTCTTGGAGAAAACCTGGGTTCGGTTTTCAGCACCCACAAGGAGGCTAACAGTGGTCCATAACTCCAGTTCCAGGGGGATCTGATGCCCTCTTCTGACCTCCGTGGGTATTGCACAGCATGGGTGCATTATATGTATGTGTGTGTGTGTATATATATATACATGTATGTATGTATATATATAAACAAACATGCAAGCAGTATACTCAAAAATAGCTGGGCGCGGTGGTGGGCACCTTTAATCCTACTCAGGAGGCAGAGGCAGGCGGATCTGTGAGTTCAGAGCCACCCTGGTCTACATATTAAGTTCCAGGCCAGCTGTGGCTACAGGGAGATCTTGTCTCAAAAAGACCAAAATAGACCCTATCTCAAAAAGACCAAGAATAAAGACTTCATAAAGGGATAGGCATTGGACTTGAAGACTGTCAAGAGGTACTCCCCTAGCCCTCCTCTCTCCCCACTACAGGGTTTAGGTGAATGAAGAATCCCTATACATCTTCAACAACAAATGCTCGAATCGCATTTTGCGAAACCGGGCGCCGAGCAAGGGGGCAGCTGAGTGGCAGTGGTTTGTCCACCAAGTGGAACCGGATCCTTTAAGTTCCTGGACGGGTTCCGTCATTATTTTTTCTTACATTTCTGCTTATAGTTCTTACAGACAGCACTCCTTGTTGCTCTCTTTTAAAAAAAAAAAAAAAAAAAAAAAAAACTGGTTTGTGGATTTTTTTTTGAGCCCCTACAGCCCCACCTTTACAGGAAGCACCTTTACCCACTGAGCCATCTCGCTGACCCCTTCCCTAGTGTAGGAACTAGAGACCACGCCCTGCTCACCTAGCTTTCCTAATTAATACTTGTTTTTACGAGGTTTGATTAAACAGAAGCAGCTCACAGCCGCCATGCATCCGGGACGCCCTCGTCCCGCCCCTGCCTCCTGCCCCCAACTTAGGCCCCGCCCCCTGCGAGCCGGAAGCTGTGGTCCGTAGTAGGGAAAGATCCGGATCGGAGCGCTCGGAGCATGCGCGGGAGGCGTCTGGACGCAGACTCCCGGCGGTCTCTGCAGCGCGGCCTGGCGGGGGCCGGCGCTGCAGGCCCGCTGGGTCTTTGGACACGGGATGGCGGCCAGCCTGTGGATGGGAGACGTGAGTGACGACCGCCACCCGGTGAAGAGGAGGGGTCGGGGGGAGCCGGAGGGTGCTTTTTGGAGGCTCATGTCTTAGTCCCATCTCTGGGGAGGCTGAGGGAGGGTCGCCACAAGTTCGAGGCTCCCTAGAGTTGCAGGCCGCCCTGGCTAAGGAGCCAAACCCCGGCTCGCCCCGCCCCTCGACAGAAATGCGGGTCCCAGCATCCTAGTGAAGAGGCTGAGTCTCCGGATTCGGGGTCCTGGGGAAGAAAAGGGAGACCCTCGAGGATGGAGGGGCGCGGTGTTTCTAGGGATGGAGAGTTCCCGTGAGGGGGAGCAATTTGAAGTAAAGGACTCGGAACTGTGGGCCCCTCTGCGGAAAGCCTACCTCCCCACCCACCCTGGGTCGACCCCAAATGGGACGCGGCCTGAGCCTCTCCGCTCTTGTTTATACACAGCTGGAACCCTACATGGATGAGAACTTCATCTCCAGAGCCTTTGCCACAATGGGGGAGACCGTGATGAGCGTCAAGATTATCCGAAATCGCCTCACTGGGTACAGTCCCTTTTCATCTTTCCAGTTCTCACTTAATAGATCCTGCTGCAGCTGTCATTCCAGACATTTAGGGCTTCTCGCCATCCCTAGTAATCGTAATTTCAGAGTTGTAAAATAACGTTCTGAGGCATATTGAGTGGAAGCATAGAGAATTGCCTAAGGACAGGATGCTTGGAACCTGGGTTTGAAGACTTTGTGCTTTGTGATATTTGGAAACTTACTTATTTTTATTTTACGTGTGTGTTTTGCCTTCATGTATATAAGTGCACCCATGTTGCAGTGCCCATGGAGGCCAGAAGAGGGTGTCAGATCTTCTGGAACTTGGGTTACAGGAAGTTATTAGCTGCCAAGTGGATGCTGGGAACAAAACCGGGGTCCTGTAGGACAGTAGCCAGTGCTCTTAATCACTGAGCCATTTCTCCATCCCCATCTTTTTTTGTTTTCAGAGAACAAGGTTTCACTGGAGTATAAAGGCAG